AAGTATACGGAGATAATTTTTTTATGACCTTTCAGTCCGAGACCTACAAATTGCAGCGTCGAAAGAAAATAAGCATTTTCTTGTATTTACGGGACAACATATCCCAACTGATCCATATACTAACTGAATCCATATACTATCCCATATACTAACTGAAACTATTTTAGTACAGACTTATCGCGTTTATAGCTCCCGACGCTTTGGACCCGTTACAGCATTCATTATCACGGGAGAAATTTAAATTATAAATAAACGCGATAAATCTGTAAAAAATTGTTTCATTTAAATAAGAAGTATAGCTGTCGATTAAGTGTCGGGGGAAGTTACAGACAGAACAATAATGGGAACTTTTTAATATTGCTGTGTCCAGAGAACTAACTCACCATAGAACATACCTTGAGGAATAAGTTGAAATACATTCATCCATAGTCATTTTTGTCTTCCATAAAAAGCTTTATTATTTTATTATTTAGTTATGTTTGTGAATATCGTTTAAAGTGCCTTTTATTTCAGGTTTGCACTACTTAGGTGAGGCCATAGCTGAAACCTGTTCCATTCAGTACAGACTACGCCATCGTATACATAATGACTTCCTTTATTGATCTCATTGTAATACGAGGCCGTGAGATTACAATAATCTGTACATACAATAATGACTGTTTCTTTTGGTTTGTCGCAGTACGCGTTCCTTTAGCTTCCCAATTGTAATGAATACTAAAATAAGATTGTCTTTGTATAAAATTTTATGAAAGGAATTTAGCGGTATTGTATGTTGTAATTATAATTATGATTATATATTTATTATTTAAAGAAAGTTTTGTTCATCTTTAATAGCAGTGGACGTTTATAACTTATTTAGTTCCAGGTTTACATTTGTATTATCATTTGCCGGGGATTATTTAGTTAAATCAAATAACCGCGTATATTTATTAACTCGTAAAAACTAGAGACTCCACAACGCGTTAGCTGCTTACATTACGATATCAATGCCGCAAAAAACGTTGCATTGGCGATACAAAACGCATTCGTTACGTGACATTAATTCCGCCATGGTTATTGCGCTTCAAGAATGATTTGTTTTGATAAAAATTCCACGATGGGGCTACGCAGCCGCCTCTGATGGTTCACTGATGGGGCTTTCCCACCTACTTGTCTTGTTTTGACTGTGCACGAGTATACCTAATGGTCTGGGGATGTACCAGTACCACGGTATCACAAAAGAACGGCATGAAGTGGGAATGTTATATTTTTGTGAACTTAACTTTGGTTGATACTTTAGAACGTTATCGACGTATTTGCAGGCCCTCAGGTCTTCTAGATGTCCATGGGTAGTTACCCATGTTAAGTATGTTAAGTTTAACATCAGGTGACCAGAATATTCGATTGGCTACCTTCTAATAAAAAACGCATTAAAATACTTTTAGACCATAAATGTGACGTCGGATTATTAAGTAACGAAGAAGATCGTATTAGTTAGTTTTTTGAACAACAGGTGGCGCTGTAGCCAATTATAACTTATAATAAGAAGAATAATTGTACGACGTGGAGATATTCACGAGGCAGTATAAGCGCTTCACTAGATTCCTGTTATAAAGTGGTTTCATCGGTTGGAGTTAGTGAACAGTGTCCAGGTAGATCCAACAAACGCCATTCGAGCTAAAAACTGTGGAGACACGAGGTCTTGCATGAATGAATGAATATTAATGAATATTTCTTTAGTTTCAACGAATACTACAATTATATTAACAATTAACAGAATATGCATGAAAATAAATAGGTATGTACTGGGTACGATTTACCGATTTCCATTACATACCAAAAGGTAAATTCTAAACATCTTCGGTCATGTACATGCTATTTGAATGACTAATATTTTAATCATTCAAAAAGGCAGTTTTTTTAAAGCAGAGGACTTGAGGTCTTACTGACATTCATATACTGGGAGATTTTTTGAGAAGTGCCCAAATTTACACAGGGGTTCAGAATCGGTAGGATAATCGTTTATTGAAATAAAAAACAAAGTTTTTTTTTCAAAAAAAATGCCATTCTATTCCCTAAAAAACTGAACGTGTTGACAATGCGGTAGTCATTCATAAATACCTAAATTTTACTGTGCACGAACTTGTGTGCGTGTTAATTATGAATGATCGCGCGTAAAATAAATGAGTTGCGTATAAATCACGCATTTTTTGAGATAAGTTCCAATGAATGTAATTAATTACTTACGAGTGATTTTAAATATTTATCATTTTTATATAACACTATTTATGTCTAGAATTTAACAAAAAAATATGGATACACTTAGAAAGCCAACCTGTACATCGTTCCTCAAATAAATGCTCCAGGTTTCTATTTACCTTTAAATATAGTCTATTTACCTTAAAATATATATATTAACGTTGTCTTTGGAGATAAATTATGCACATCGCCTTTTGAAAATAAACAATCAATCGTCTTGTTTCCGTTTTATAGTGTTTGTTATCTTTGTCATAGCCGTGAATGCTCAGTGTCCGGGCTCTTGCCTTTAATTCAATGTACTCGAGCAACCTGAGTTTGATCCCTCGTGTCGGGATCAATGAAATTGTTAATTTTAAGCGCTGACTTCACGTGTTCAGCGGTGAAGGAAAACATCGTGAGCCCTGGATATTTTCGAAATGATGAATGATTCGATATTTCGAATGACAAAAAAAACCATTTCGGAGATATGTGAGTCCGTCAATCCGCAGTGGGGCCGCGTGGTGAACTATGCCTTGGTAACGTCTGTATAAAAAGGAGGCCTTTGCCCACCAGTGGGCCATGCATAGGCTTTTACTTTACTTCAGACGCACTGTCTGATTCTCTGTTAGTGCTTCGTGCGACAGAGCTAACGCTCTACATTGCCGACATCAGCCGATTGTCTCTTTTCAACGGTCGAGGTGCAATATTAATCGCCGATTATTTGATCGAATCTCTCATTTTTTAGTTTTACTGAGCAAATAGGTTATTTTTGGTATATACACCCAAGTAGTAGATCTCTCCTATTCTTGCACGACAATCATAATTCTATCTCAAATAAGCGACCTTTGACCACGTAAGCCGAGTCAAATATCGCAATATAGACGCGTTGCCTCATCTGCGTGTGAGAATGTGAGAGAATGGTTCTTAGGCCCTGGCTTCTCAAATAACAATCACAGCGAGCTTAGGCACAGGCTGGACATTCAAAATTGAGGCTGCGCGGATTTTTAAGTTTGAGCATGCCTGTGTATATAAACGTTAATATGGCGTATGTATAGTCCGGTCGTTAAGATGGAAGGTTACGTCTATAAAATGTGTTTTATGGTTGTTAGACGAACAACCGTGACTAAAAGTTATAATAAAAGCGTTTTTAGAGTTCAGTAATGGTCATGTTGTTCAAGGCGGTTTATTCCTTAAGTTAACAGTACGTAGCCGCGATAGCTTGTTTTCCGGGCGCTCGCTCTTAATCCAATGTACTCGGGTAACCGGTGTTCGATTCCTGGTGACGGAACCGTTCAAATCGTTAATTTTAAGTACTGTATTACCGCGTGATCAGCGTTGAAGGAAAACAACAAAATCGTAGATATGTGAATTCCGCTAAACCGCAGCGGTTGCGTGATGGACAATGGCCCTAATGCCCTCTGTACAGAGGAGGCCTTTGCCCAGCAGTGGGACATGTATATAGGCTGTTACTTTACCTTTACTTTAGTTCTGCGGTAACTATGTTATTAACCAATAACATTACGAGAAACTTTTTCACGGGTTTCATTATAATATGAAAAGGGGGAAAGTCAAATTTTCTTGACTCTTTCATTTGATTTAGATACTTGAGATATTTTCACCTTACTTACATTTTTGTCTCCATCCAGCTTTCAGTTAGATTAAGTTAAACTACATTTAATAACCTAAGAAGGAGCACATCCTTCTTAAACAAAACTGAATGAGAATGCGTTAAGATTTTCGTCGGTGTGGTAATGAGCCGTTTAGCTCAGTGGCTAGAGCGTCAGGCCGCGAATGCCGATGACGTGGGTTCGATTCCCACAGCGGCGACAATCTTTTCGCACTTTTTCTACATATTTTAATGTTCAATCTTAAGTGCAAAGATTAGCACTATAAACAATTTAAATTTCTAAAAATGTTAATTATAAAATAAAATTGTAAGTGTGTTTTAGGTGAGGCTGAAAAGTTTTTTACTGAACTTGAAACTGAGTGCATATTCAACATCGTAATGCACTAAGTTTCAGCCATGAAATAAAGAAAACAGTTTGACTCACTTGTTTTCTTTATTCCGTGGTTTCAGCAGCGATAGACCATCGAACTGTTTATCATCAAGATTTAATATCATCAGATAATATACATACATCCCTAGGAGATTCAAGAGATAACAGTGATAGCTCTAAAGAGGCAGCCATTGCTATTTAAATTGTCATTTCATTGATTAAAAAAAGTTAGTAATAAATTTAAATGTTTTATTGTCACTCGATGACATTTAATGTATTATGGCAACATCAAAATAATTAACATAATGGCACAACGGTTTATGCGATCAAAGTCAAATAGGTAACAACACAAAAAAAGATTTTTTTATAATTTTACCATTATTTTCTTCACTTATGTAAGTCGCTTATACGTTAACGTACTTTGATTTCTTTAGGTTAGTTCAACGAAACAAAATAAACAGTTAACAAATAAACAATAATGATAAAATTAATCGCAAATATAATAAACTTGACTAGTTTAAAGACTAAAATAAAATTACGATTCATTAATTAAACGATAACAAAAAAACCTTCAACTTTGTTAAAATTTGTATCCGTAAATGCTGCACGAAACCGTAATAAATTTAATACAATATAAAAATTTGAACTCCTTCGCGTGTAAAGGTAACTTTACGATTTCGTATACTTCAACCAACAATTCCAGAATTCCCTTTGGCTTTAAAATGGCGTAAGGCACAGCGTTAATCTATTTAAATCCTTACAGATAAAAAATTTGACGCCCGATTAATAATCTGTGTAGGCGGGCGCCGTTTTGCCAACGCCATCTAGCGAAACCGGCCTGTAGTAGGCCTGCATTTCACCCCAGCCTCGCGGCGCGACATTGAAATTCGGCCCACAGACAAGCGGCAAGCGGGGGCTCTTCGGCGACGCGTAGACGTCGTTCAGCTTGGTCGGCGCCAGGGGCACGGGCACCTCTATGTCCTGTAGGGTTATGGTGGGCGAGAGCGGGAACGGCTCCATCTTGGGCAGGTTGGGCGTGTGCTTGAGCGCCGACTTGGGGTACGTCTTCTGGTTGCGCACGCTCGACGGCGGCCGGTACGGCGTGTCGTGGTTCGCAACGGGCGTGGGGGTCGAGCTGGTGTTGGATGTGTTGCGACCTGAAGGACGAAGGAATGAACAACACGCGTAATATTCGTAATTGCGACTTCAATATGAGCGGTTGAATTAACCGGAGTGACTCGCGATTGTCGAAACAAGGCAAACGTGTAAATGTGTTCCTTATTGTAAAAACATATTATAGGTTTGCAGCGCATCGCGTTTATTGTTGATGTCTATGGTGACTTAGTGTCAAAACCCCCGCTCGCTCGCAAACTTCTATAGCATAATTAGCATACACTCTCGAGTCTTGAAATCCATACGTAGTAGACAGAGCAACCTACTGCTATTCAAATGTCGTTCTTTTTCAGTCCAAAACTTAGCTCAGTTTTCTCATTGTGAAAGAGAAATAAAAGACTGTGTTAGAGCACGTAATCGTAGATTTCAACTCTAATAACGCAGGATGGTGGCTTCTAGTAACTGTTAAGGTTGTGTTTTTATATTAGAAGGAGGCAAGTGCGCAGACGTTTCATCAGACGATAATTGAATGAATAGCAAGTAATGAAAAAAGTATCGGGCACCGGTTACTTCACTCAGGAAAAAGGCACATCATACTGAAAATTTGTATTTCATCTAATTATAAACAAACCAAACCGCCTACCTCTGCCCTCGTGGACCCATTTTACGGAGCGCTTCTTCCTGTTGACGTACATGCTCTGGCCCCTGCTGGTGTGGTTGCTGGAGTCGCTGAGAGACTTGGAGATGGCCCTCGCGAGGTCCATCTGCTCCTTCACGGTCGGGTGCACGCCCGGCACGTAGAACGCCGAAGACGCGAAGGTTTTCTCTGGAACACCACGGTCTCCCGTAAAGTAATTTCCAAGGAGAGTTGGCTGGTAAAAACATAGCCAGAACCGCTTACAACACGATTCCAAGTTGTGCCGACTCCACCTAGGTGATGATGACAATCACAATCTCTCATGAAGTTAAAAAAAGATAAATCCGAACCGTCAGCTTAAGAGTCGTCAATTGCTCCGTTGTAGGCAGAAGGCGCTTTAAATATATTCGCGACGTTAAAGCTGATCCAATTGGAGACATCATACGAACATGAGTTAATCATCGCCGACGGCAAAGTCATACAGTAATTGTAATCAGGAAGTTGGAAATAGATTAGCGTTGTGCTTTTAATTTTATTTTATTTTTTGTTATGAAGTACAGCGTTCTTTAGACCATCGGCATCGTCTATATATAGAAAATAATCCATTTTTCATGTCTTTATCGGGAAGGTGTGAAATATATGATCGATGTTAATGATCTTAAATGAATTACATAAAAAATCTCGTGTCACAAATTTGGGATACAAAATAAAATGAATTACAAAAAAATCTCGTATCACAAATTTGAGATACAAGGATGCACATAAATAACTCACTATAGCAGTTATCATGTGTTGACCACGGTAATGTGATTTCAAAGCGATTCAAAGATCACCTTTACTTAGTCTAAATTTGTCCCGATTTGGTGTTTGAATGAGACCATTCATATTGAAATAGCTTATATATAAACATCACAAAGATTTACTTTTAATTTTATTTTTTTAGTGGTGACTCAAGATGGAGCTCAAAATGTAAACTTTTTTAGATAACGTACACGTTACTTGGAAAACACAGGTTCGATTCTCGCAGCGCCAAAATTCATATGACAAACTTACTCAGAGTTATTCTGAGAGCACTATTATTAATAAACTCTGTGTTGTTGTTGTGAATCAATGGATTTCTTTAATACCGCTGTTTAATAATAGCTGTTATAGCTACAAAACTCCAATCTCCATATTTTTTTAACAATTTTACATTGAGATAATTGATGGACACAAAAATATTGACAGTATTAAAGTATTTAATATTGTGACGTTTATTTTTGTTTCTTTTTTTTTTCTTCTTAACTTGAGCGAGGAAAGACAGCGCTCTTATTATCAGCTGCATCAATAAGGAGCGATACATGCCATCATAGCACCTGAGTTCCCGGTTTATATATTTTACATATTTTACGACATTTATATATTTAAGTGCTGACTTATCACGGTGAAGGTAAACATCGTGAGGAAACCTGCATATTTTCGAAATGATAATGAAAAAAAAACATTTTTGAAGATATGTGAAGTCCGTGGTGGACTATGCCCAGATACCCTCTGTACAGAGGAGGCCTTTGCCTCTGTATGTGACATATACAGGCTGTCACTTTACGTTTATACGTATATGGGATTAAGGTATATTAACCTTCTCGAGCTGCTGCAAGATGGTGAGGGAATCGGGGAAGGCCTATCCTTCTCCGAGGCGTGCTCACGCGCAGTACTGAGGGACACCGGTGCGTTCCGTGGGAGATCCCGGAGCCCCTCCAAACGTACAGTACCCACCGAGGAGGTTTTGATTTCCCCCCGATAAAAAAAAATGTATATTAACCGAATTTGCGATCCTTCTTAATGATATGCTCCTCGGCATCAGGGGCTGGTGTGAATATCTTGTTCAGGTCCACTTCCTTGTCGCCCACGATGATTGGCTTGTTCTCCATGTCCTCCTGCGGTTGAATCAATTTTAATGTTAAGTGGACAAGAAATTCTTCGGGCGGATGTAAAACATGATGGAACGTTTATTTTAACTATTTAATCAAACTTATCCTATCCTTCTTCCTCTCCATCTCTTTCGGGAGTTACAGCAGGGGAGAGGGAAGCTGTTATAAGAAAATTAAATGGTAAATTACAGCTTAAAAAAGCGCTTGACACTTTTCATTTGAGCTTCTTGTGAAAATGAGATATCCCAAGGATTACTTGGTCTGGAATCATAATTGTTATTCAACATTCCAGTAAAAATATCATACTTTCGCGTTTCGTCTGGTGAGTGATTTAGCCGGAGCCCAATTTTCATAAGGTTGTCAACGCATCTATAACCCTCGGGTGTAGCAGATGTCTATGGGCGACGGTATTTACTTACCAACAGGTGAACCGTCTGCTCGTTTGACAAATTTTCACATAAAAAAAAAAAGAATATCATGTAAATATAAATCTGGAAAATGTTGAAATTCCAATGTTTACCTATTTTTATTATCGCCATTTAATAAAAAAAAACTTCTTTTATTTCCCACAAAATTAATTAGTTGTTACGTACTTTGTCACATTTAGGTATTATCTGTAGTTGATATATTATCGATACTCATTCTATTTACTCCTATTTTAAGTACCACTAGTCCATCAACACCTGTTATTCTTTACTAACAACCATAATAGCTAATACTTAACATAATAAAACGTAATGGACGTCAGTAAGGAATAAAGATAAGAAGTATTGTGAAGCAATTCATAAAATTTTCCAAAACAAAGAAATAAGTCACTGTGTTTTTGTTCGTACTCAAAAATTACGTTGCCAAATCTCATTCGTAACAGGTCGTTTGTCTTTTGTACGTTGGCAGTCATCTTGTCAACACTTAGCTGTGTATAAAAGGAAAATTTTAGCTGAGAAAATCGAAACTGGCAAATTAGACACTCGACTGAACAAATTATGTAAACCAATGTTACATTGTGATTTAATAACAGGTGTAGAATACTCAAAATTTTACGATCTATCGATGAAACCCTCCAATAAAGCGCCAGTCAATCGTTATTTGAATTTATATCATTTTATAAAACTTAATAAAATATTGGAGATAAAATACGAACGTAGTTATGATCCTTTTCATTTTCTAGAAGGAAATGAGGAAACATAAATCATTATTTCCCCATATTTTTTTAAGTCTATATTTTTTTTATTTTCTTCCTTGTCTATAAATTATACACAAAAGAAAAGGCATTAAACATAATATTTACAAGAATTAATCTGTCTTAAAATCACGTATTATCTTTTTTAAAATAACTTTAGTTAATGATAAACAAGCATCGCAGTCACACATCCATTATAATAACAATGAGCGTTTAGTTTAACGCGACAAGTGATGAACCTATCGTTTCATGGTCGTCCAATTTACTTTGAAGTCGATTATTTCACGAATGGCAACTAGCCGGGCTTCGAACCGGGATCATTTAATCGGAAGCCACTAAATATTAATTCAGATAAACAAATGATTTCTAGCAACAAGTGCTCAAAATAATTACTATCGATACTGTAGATAACATATGTACAAACGTAATAGATACGGCGCGAGAATTAACTCAGAATACTCACAATGTTATGATTTTATAAGTCTGTTGGACAAAAGCATCTTTATTGGGTAAGACGGGAAATGTAATTGATTTGTATCCCTATTTAAAATTTATCCTGCTGCCCTTATCCCTCAGGTGGGGTCGGCACAACATGAGAATCAATCATGTCGTAAGCGGTCTGTGCTACGATTTTTGCGACCGACCCGCCTGACGTCAACCCTCCTTGGGAAAATAGCAGGTTACAGTATTTTTGCTAGAACTGATGTGATTTAGTTACAGAAACAGATAATGAAGATCACACACCCACGACACTCGCATGCAAATATGTGAAAATATTAATACAAGCGACAAACATGTTTATGTTTACACATAAATAAATAATACCGAAACGTTGATAGATAATGTAAATTATAAATAATAGCAAAGCCAGTAGAGAATAGAAGATGTATTATGTACATTTATTTGTATATTCTTCTGTTTATTTTATAAATATCTTTTGATGTAGAAGAGATAGATTAAAAGTTAAATTCAAAAGAAACACCAAAATTGAAAATTGTTGATCAATTGCACAAACTAACTTTCATAATTTGTTACAACTTTTTACATTATATTTGTTATCAACATCTTACTTATATTTTATTATTAAATCTATCTTTTAAATTATCTCTCCGTTATAGACGAGGAAATGAATCCATAACTGTCTGTCAACTGTTAAAAAAAAACAAAACGGCAATGATGTCTATATCAATTTCCGGCGGCCATATTTACAATTCTATGGAACTAATGATTCCATGATTTCGTTTAGAACTTCATCTTACGGATTTAGGTTCCGGCGGTAGCATTTGCGGTAGCTCTCGAGGTACTTCTGCATCATTCTGTATAGTTATATAAATAAGCATATTAGGTTTTCACTAATTAAATGGGGGTTATTCTATTTCTTAAAATTGTCGAAACATTTTATCGCCGATGCCAAGATTAGAGCGTACTACTTACTAACACAACTGACTAACACTAAAATTAAAATAAAATTTCGGATATTTTATTATCTTTCCGATGTTCTGTACGTCTGTATAAGACATATATCTCGCATTCTTAAACGCTCAATAATTAATAGTTGGCTTTGAAAAACTAAGGAAATATAATAATTCTTTGTAGTATTATCAAAAACTAAACTGAATAAAAAGTAAATAAAAATAAAGTAATAAATATAAAGTAATCACTAACGTGGAAATTTGACACCAAATCAATATAAAACATGTTATAAAAATAATTCTTAAGATCATTAAAATATCATTTGCTGTAATTGTATCAATTTATACATTGCCTAATCTTCTACATTTTAAAAGTTTTTACGGATTGTATAATTTTAAATGTGCATTTTTATTTCTACAGTTTTAAAACTATTTAATTCGTTGATACGTCCTGCTTGACTGTCTTGAAGATAAATTAAGTATGCAGTGAAAATAAGCAGACTTTACCATAAAGACTGAAAAATACCAGAACCATAAACTAATAATGTTTTTAGCCCCTAACGATGAGAAAATAGCTTCTATTGAACAACTAACAAGGAGCGATTTCGATTAATAACGGCTGTACTTAAGACGTTTCGTTTATGATGGATCGCTAAGTAGTGTTGGAGTCTGGCCAACCTTCTGCTAGAACTCTGCCAAGCCGCCATGCCAATATGCGATGTACAACACAAATTTGTTTTATATTTCAGTATTGAGGACAAAGAGTCTACGAAATACGCCAGATGAGAAAATATATAACGCCCGTATGCGCCGGGCGGGAAAAACTCAACGTTAGTCGCTATCTCGAAAGCTTTGATGTTTCAGTATTGTCGTAATCGAAATTATTTCCCGCTCGAAATTTCGATTGTTCTAGAATAATGCGAGTAATCTCTCGCGTTTCTTGACGGCAGCAGGCATAGTTTTCTTTTATCACGCTACTGGGGCGAAGAATAAAAGGAGGGTTATATTTTTGTCCTGAATGTATGTATGTCCGTCCCTCGTTAAGTACTGAGTCGCTGAACCCATTTTGACCAATTCTACGTCTTTATATTCGTATTTATTGCGCTTGTGTCACTTAGTATTGAAATTACAAAAAATTGAAATGAAGTTTTTGACGCCAAAAAAATTATGGTTTCGAAGATTTCTTTGTACCACTAGCTTTTTTTTAATAATTGACTTGTCGCATGATACTCTCGCCTTCAGTATTGCCCTGAGTAAATTTACGTTATTTGTCTTTATTGATCAATACTGTAGCTTATTGAGCAATATTAATATTAAGCCCCTCAGCAGCTGCTGTTTGTGCACAAATGAACCGGACAGAGGTCAGTTGTAAAGTGGAAGAATTTTTTCTTCTAGTAAGGATGAAAACTTAACAACGCAATCAGTTGTTGCAGAGAGGTGGTAATTACTCACCACTGGTTGCCACTTTCTCATATATAAAACAGTTTGGTGTACGCCACTGAATTGTGGAATCGTAACTCGACGTTCCAACCAATATGTCAACACTGTCCCTCGAAATATCTTAGTATAGTTTTTCGTAGTCAAGCGCCTGTATGGGTACACTTTATATTACTTTATTACTTTATTTATTTCATAATTAATTATTCTAAATTCTCAATTCATCTATGCAATAACTTTGAAAAAAGAAATCGGATCCCTTTTTCAAACAAGTATAAGAGTATAAAGTTATTCGTAAACATTTAAAAGCGTGAGAATAAAAAAGTTTTTTTTTATCTGGCAACAGAGTACGAACTATGGGTAACCTGATACCATTATTTCGTTCCAGTGTCATGTTAATTTCGTCGTCAGAGCCGTCCTCGATTCTCGTCTATTCAGGTTGGGCCTGTTTTCTCACAATAGCGGGAGTTTAGGTCTACTGACTTAAAAAACCTTTCTACTGAATGCCTATAATTTTTCTTGTATAATTACATTTATATTACATATTTTTATTTCTCGCTTTCACTCTAAAACTACTGAACCGATTTAAATTGATGACTCCGTGGCGCAGTCGCCACGGTATCAGCTTCGGCGTCGGGGTCGTGGGTTCGATTCGATCAGAATCAGGGTCAGATCCGAAACAATTATCTATGGGTCTCACAAATAGTTTTCTCGTGCGGAATTCGAACCCACGACCCCCGGCGCCGGAGCCAATACGTTGACAACTACGGAGTCATCGGATGTTTTATATAAAAGTAACAGCCTATACATGTCCCACTGCTGGGCAAAGGCCTCCTCTATAGAGGGTATCAGGGCATAGTCCACCACGCGGCCCAACTGCGGGTTGGCGGACTTCACATATCTTCGAAATATATATATATATTTTGTTTATTATTTCGAAAATATGCAGGTTTCCTCACGATGTTTTCCTTCACCGCGTATCACGTGATAAGTCAGCACTTAAAGTTAAAAACTTCATTGGTGCCGGCACCGGGGATCGAACTCAGGTTGCTCGAGTATATTGAATTAAAGGCGAGCGCCCGGACACTGAGCAATCACGGCTAATGTTTTATATATGTATTAATATTCGGTTGTTCGGTCGGTCGGCTTTATCCTTACATGACTTTAACCATTATTTCAAGAAATAATTAGGTCGATATTTCGTTCATTACTCACAGCTGTTTATCCCAATGGATCGTCGCCAGATGCGTAAGTAAGTTATCTTTTGTGGTACAGGACAAGGGCAATTGGAGAAAAATTTAACATTTAACTGGAGTAATATTCAAGAAACTTACTGAGAATAATTTACAATACAGAATTATAGAGTTCATATAATTCGATAACAGTTTTTAATCTTAGATAAGTTCACCTAAAATTTTCTCATCAATCTAAAATTTTACATTCCGAAATCTAGGGGACTACCCCAAGGTTGACTGGGAGATAATGCTGATGGCATTAAGTCCGTCTTTGTCCGTACATGTGTGTGCCTAAAACATAAATAAATTAATTAGGTAGGTATAAGTAGTGGTAGAGACACCATAGGGTTATGCATAGAAAAATGTTTTACGAAAAATAAGTCTTTTTCTTTGCGTATTCCACCCGTCGCCTCTATGTTATGTATCTAAGAAAATAGTACCTAGAGGACCAGTTTTTTTTTGGTAAATCATTGTGTATTTTGGAAATAAAAAAATAAAAAAATTCATCTGGTATAGAAAAAAAGTAAGTGTGTAAATGATCGTGATACGAACCGCGGCCGTATGTTTTGAGGCCGCCCGATTACCGACCGAGCTATTATAACATTTTTTTTTGCGGCGTAATTTACCGTCATATTCGAATGATATTTTTCATTCCCTGAAAATGAGGATAAAAGGACATTTTCGAAAAATGAAACCTAGCTAGATCGATGTTTCGCCCCCGAATCTACGCAAATACTAAATTTCATGAAAATCGCTGGAGCCGTTTCCGAGATTACGATTATATATATATATAAGATAATATTTTACAGTGATTTGGATGACACAGCAATCAAAACACAATTGAGTTTCTCTGTAAGTAAAGTTTTATTGTAAGACGTTGAAACTATTACATAAATAATTAAAATAACAAAAATAAAAGATTTTACTATCAAAACTTTACCTGTAAGTAAAGAAACGACATTAAATGTTATTAATCACAATGTCGATTCCTAAATCACTATTTTACATTAAGTATTTTTGTAATAAAATTATTTTCATGAATTGTGTCATATGACAGCTTAATTCTTTTTATGTTATAATCCGGCGTCAACCAGTTTTTAAAATAAACTTTATTAGCGGCCGATGCGTGAAAATATTTAAAACAAAAAAAATATTTAAATAAAAGAAAACAATATTTTTCTTTACATATATATATATATATATATATATAAGAATTGTTCGTTTAAAGGATAAGATTACATCAGATAAGCTGCTGTACTACCATGTATTTTATGTTCTCTCTATTTGGCAATTGGCATAAACAACCTAGAAAAACCACTTTTTGTTCGATAAGGCAAACTTATTATACCACAGTTTGATTTTTTTTGTTTGGTGTAATTGTTTTAGGCGTTTTACGATTTCAATAATCAAGGGCCGTTTCTAAGATGGATGACAGCAGTAAAAGTCAAAGGGAAAAATAGAATGGTTGATTGATTGGGTGATTTTTTTTTGGATTTTATGGCCCGATATCGTGGACCTTTAGACCAAGATTGAGTGATTGATGAGTAAAGGTAACAGATTATATTAAGACGTGTAGACGGTTTAAAAGTCTGAGAATTTTATGGAGGCCCATCGAGATTCAACTTCAATCGACTTCCAATTTAACAGTTGTTTCGGATCAGTGATTTACAATCAGGTCTCTTAATAATTAGGCAATTATTTTCTTTTCTTTAATGGCTATTTTTTACATTTAACAGGATATTTCATTATTATAAGTCAAAGTGGGGAAGTCGGACCCAAATAGACGACTGATTGACGGTCGATTTACTAACTGTCATCAGCTAAAATACCGGTCATTAAGGATGCTTCCTGGATTGCCCAATGCGGCCTAGTTAGTAGCGGACATTAGTTGACGCGTCAGTGATGGAACCATAAACGACATACGCTGTCTTCAAAGTCTTCAGAGCAACCGCTAGATTGCAAATGCATTGGCAATATTTGATAATGGAACGGAAAAGAGTAATTACTTCAACTTTATCTCGTTTTCGCAGTACCAACATTTCTCCAGATGAATAGGTTTATACAACAACAGTAGAAACTGCTATGCAGCTCTAACATAGAAAAGGTAAGCTGCTATAGATGAAGAGCTAGAAAGATTTTATGTGAAAAGTTGCCATTTCGTCGAACGCATTAGTAACGGAATATGTGAGAAAAATACTTATTCCAACAGTAAACACTCATTCGATGAACGAAGAATTGATGTATGTATGTAAAGGCCCATTTACATGGTGCCAGGTTCTTGCCTGTTGTATACAATTAAATTGAAGCAATAAATGTTGCATGGTCTAAACAACAAATGGTCTAAACAATTATTGCGCGCAATTTATTGCATTCAATTATTGCTCTTGTATGTACAAGAAAATGGCATCGTGTAAATGGGCCTTAAATATGAATATAAATAAATCAATCAGTTTTAAACTTGTCCATGTAATCGACAAGTATTGTGACCAATTGCTTTCAGAATAATAAGTGAAGTCAGTACTCTCGTAAAGTAACTGTGGTAGGGCTACGCAGCAGCCTCGGCTGTTGCACGAATGGGCAGGCTCGTCCGGGTAAGTATCACGACCTCACAGAAGACCGGCTTAAAGTGGAAGTATAATACTTTCGCGTTTCGTCTGGTGAGTGAGATGGCCGGAGCCCAATTTGCAAAAAATTGTCAACGCATCTGCAACCCTCGGGTGTAGCAGATGTTCAAATGCCGCAATATTTAATCAGGGTGATTCATCAGGTGGACTGCCTGCTCGCTTGGATATTTCTCACATAAAAAAAAATTAACTCTCGTAAAGCTATAAACATGTTTCCTTAATTCGGCAACAAAAGTTACACGGTTCAGATAAGCTTTTTGCAGTTGAAATCGTTTTCACTGCAGATTTGAAATTTTCATCGAGAGATCGAAGTCAACAGCGAGAGCGGCAGTCGCGAGTCGAGATGGCTGGACGCGGCCGAAGCGCATTTTTGGGCTCCTGGAATAGTGCCAACTCCAAAGCTCACGCGGCACATTGGCCACTTGGACACTCGAGGAATTCTTTCTGCACTTTCGAGGGCGTTGCTCCCGTGAAAGTTCAAGTACTCCGCTCTTTGTCGAGGAAGAACCATTGGATTAACCACGCGAGAAGATTGAAAGATGCATTTTAATATGCCATATCAGCTTCGTTACAATTCAGTTATGTGTTTTTTGTTTTTTTTACAATAACGATTTTAGTTGTTAAAATAGCAGATGCAATCAATCTTATTTTAATGGGACACTAATCACATAACCTTTTTGGGCTGCCGTACCCAAAACGTGACTCTACTTCTAAGACTTCGCTGTCTGACTGTCCGTCTGTCACCAGGCTGCATCTCATGAACCCTGATAGACAGTTGAAATTTTCACAGATTATGTATTTCTGTTGCCGCTATAACAACTAATACTACACAACAGAATATAAAAATATTTAAGCGGGGCCTATTCAACAAACATGATTGTTTTAGCCGTTTATGGTACGGTACCATTCAAGCGTAAGTCCGACTCGCACTTGGTCGGTTTTACGAAGCCATACTAATATTATAAATGGGAAAGTAATAAGAGTTATTCTTAGAGTCTGTCTGTCTCACTTTCACTCCAAAACTACTGAACCGATTTAAATGAAATTTGGTACACAGATAGTCTACAGCATAGACAAAGGGCAAAGACAATTTTTAATTGGAAAAAAATTGCCGTTATTAAGGTCTTCAACGCGGGCGAAGACCTAGTATCTTATATGTAAAAATTATTGCTTATTTACATAAGCTGTGTCTTGGATATCTGAACAGCGATAAGTCTCATCACCTACAGGTGATAACGTCACAATGTTTAAGAAGTATTAAATGATCTCAGTGTAGGCGTGTACGTAAATTGTAATACTATTTTTGACACGTATTCAAATAAGTTATATAAAAGACTAATTTTATATAAGATCCAGAATACTTCCACAATGTCATTCAAATGAGCCCCATATCGTGATTGAACCGATTTTCCGTGGTACCTAAACCTAATCTTTTGCGATATTCTCACAAAGCGCTAATAATATTTAATCTAAATTTTTCGCATCTATTTGAAAATAATTTCTTTTTTATTAAGGATTCTGGCAAATGAACTGCCCGTTCACCTGGTGCTCGTTACCACCACCGCTGGACATCCGTAACACCTGATAGGTTCCAGCTACGTCAACAAACATAGCCAATATAAAAGTATAAAAGCAAACAGAAGCTGTTGATTGGGACTGACGCTAATTTCTAAATAATAATCGTTACACAACTCTATCGTGGACTCTACATAACAAAAAACAGTATAAAATTATACATTAACTGCCCGTTTCAATATTCGATTTACAGATAGATTTGGTTACTGGAGATAGAATTGTGACGTAAGTATTATCAAGATGTCGAATACCTATCGCTCATAGGGGGTTTTTGTCCGCGTGAAATTTATGATTGTACAACGTCCTTACAACACAGGATAATGTTATCCTAAAGTAAGGGCAATGTTTTTAAAAAAAAGTTGAAATCGGCCGTAAGAGAGATTAATAAAACAGGATATCCAACCGACTTCAAAAATGAAAGAATTTCACAATTCGGTTGTATTTTTATGTTTGTCACCTCTGAACTACGTCTTTTATGACTCGATTTTAAAAATGTATTGGGTTCGATTAAGCTTTTATTCGGTCCTATATTAATGTCAACGGTGGAGATACAGCTCCTCAAAATTTAATGGAAATGTATTTTAGGTTACATATTTGAAGTCGTTTTTGTTTTCTGTTTAGGAAAATTTAGGTATGATATATTATCTTTTTTAAAAGTGATAGCACTTAAAGTATCGATATAATTTATATCGAAGTTCATGATTACGAACAAGTACTCAGTTTAAAAAGATACAGTTAACACTTCAGGCTATCGCTACAAGTAGTTTGCAGTGATTCACATACTTTAAGCCTGAAACATGTTTGTAAAACAAAACCTTGTGTTTGCTAACCTTGTGGCAATACGTCAGAGCTAACCGATTCAAACGAAGCTATACTCATTACTTACATATATACGCTATAGATTCAAAATTAGTCTAATTTTGCATTGAAAGCGAGATTTAAGTGTTTTTTTTTTAATAAAAACTGTTACTTAGTTGCAATTATGTTAACAACTCGAACGATGATCTATATTTCCGAGACACGACTCTGAATCATGCAATACCTACAGTAAACTATTGTCTCTCTCTATAAAATGTGTGCACATATCCTGCGAATATGACCTTAACAGACGCACCAACAAGTATTTATGCAAAGGTAAATTAAATATAACACATATTTTATATATATGATTAAAACGTTAGTGTGTAATAACTAACTACTGAATATAAAATAAATACTTAGATAAAGATAAATTGATACAATATATAATACGGGTTCCAATACAGCACCTTGCAGCACACCACGCGTGTCGTTGTTAGAAGCCTGGCACTTAATCTAATTGGTATAGATTCGACTTACCCAACTTACAGGGAACAACTTATAACTGAGGTTTGTTAGGAACTCCTTCTTCTGTGGGTCGTACATGTCAGAAGGCTTGAAGCCCCTTTTTGTTATTAGTGTGCTGTTGACGCTGGACGAGCTTTTGACGTCATCAAAGCTGTCCTTATGCACAACGCGGTCGTTGATTTTGTGGATGCTGGACATCTTGTTCGAGGAGTACTGGCTCTCGCTTATCGTCATCATCTTTTCCAAGTTCCAGTTTTTCGGTTCTCGATACTATGTTATCTGTTATTTCTTTGTACACTCCTTTACCGCCTTTAGTAGATTCTTGTTGTCGTGTGTCTCCTGTTTTGACTTTGAATGTGCTACTGCAAATTGAACGTTGAATCTGTTAATAACGAACTTTGGCTCCAACTCATCAAGGTTTTGGACGGCTAAAAGAAAACGTGACTAATGCGCGGTTGAGTGTAGGAGTTCACCACTATGTTACATGAAGTCACTAGCGACGAATTGGGAATTGTTCGATACGCTTTCAACGGGAATTATTGTGGATGTCGATGTACTGTACCGATAGTACGAGGACGAGCGTCTATTTTGAACGCCCTGTTTATGAGACGCGTAGCTGTTGTAACGGAGTTTTATGACGTTAACAATTCCAGATCAATTCGGTGTACGCTCAAGGGAACTCAAATACGTATTTAGGGCGACCCAACGCCGCACAACTGTCGGTGTGTTTTAACTAATCTCAAGCGAAAATTAAATTGAACGGAATAATATAACGAAATGTACGTCACGTCAGCTCTGCGTTCGGTTTTTATTCTTACGCTGTGCGAAGACGAACATAAAAATTGTTGGCAGTGTATGCGTTTCCCTAACACCAGATGATTCTAGACGTTATTGCGTTTGTAGCAAATAACTGTTTGCTTAATTTTATTTAAAACATTGTTACAACATTATAAAATCCATCGAAATCCAATCGTATCATTATGATAGAAAACAAAGCTGTGCATTAACAAAAGGAGCTTTAATATATTTATTGCAACTACTTTTTTTTAGCATTTATCTTCGAAAATTCGGATGACAGTATGGAGTACTTAATTTAAAACACATACTTAAACAGACACTGGCCGAAATACGCGAAAACGACCTTTCAGGAGGTCAAGAGAATATTTTGCAACGGCTAAAATATTGCGAGCACTTGTTTCCCACTAAAGCTATTACACGCGCGGATAACGGTACACAGCAAGGACACGATTTCCACGGAGCGTGTGTCTTCGCCGCGTTTAGGTTTCAGACTAACGAAAATAAGTTTTCAAACGCCGTTGCATAATGCGTAGGAAAGCTTCTCTCGTGTAGGGTGGCAATACAGGGCGCTGTTTGCTGCACAAGAATTGTATAAAGGTTCGTTTCGAGCTTTCTTTAGGCATTACCTTATAACTGTTCACAGATGCTCCAGAGAAGGTTCGGCAAGGTATATATTTCCTTAGTTAATAAAAGATAAATTATTTATTTGAGAAAATTATAATCTTAGCGTAACTATCGAAGTTTATACTAAAAATTTTGCAGAAATAATTATGCAAAAATAATTCAACGATGCATAAACAAACATTAGTCAATTAAATTATACTTCTGAACGAAATCTTTATCTAAGTAGTAAGTAAGTACCATGCTGAATACTAGTCTTTATCTAAGTAGTAAGTAAGTACCATACTGAATACTAGTCTTTATCTAAGTAGTAAGTAAGTACCATACTGAATACTAGTCTTTATCTAAGTAGTAAGTAAGTACCATACTGAATACTAGTCTTTATCTAAGTAGTAAGTAAGTACCATACTGAATACTAGTCTTTATCTAAGTAGTAAGTAAGTACCATACTGAATACTAGTCTTTATCTAAGTAGTAAGTAAGTACCATACTGAATACTAGTCTTTATCTAAGTATAAGTAAGTAAGTACCATGCTGAATACTAGTCTTTATCTAAGTAGTAAGTAAGTACCATACTGAATACTAGTCTTTATCTAAGTAGTAAGTAAGTACCATACTGAATACTAGTCTTTATCTAAGTAGTAAGTAAGTACCATACTGAATACTAGTCTTTATCTAAGTAGTAAGTAAGTACCATACTGAATACTAGTCTTTATCTAAGTAGTAAGTAAGTACCATACTGAATACTAGTCTTTATCTAAGTAGTAAGTAAGTACCATACTGAATACTAGTCTTTATCTAAGTAGTAAGTAAGTACCATACTGAATACTAGTCTTTATCTAAGTAGTAAGTAAGTACCATACTGAATACTAGTCTTTATCTAAGTAGTAAGTAAGTACCATACTGAATCCTAGTCTTTATCTAAGTAGTAACAAAGTACCACGGTTGTGACCTCCTAAGTAGGTTATTTTCATAACCATAATTTTTTTACTCACTTCCGTATTAGGCTTTCGGCAATTTTTTACTAACTACTACAATGGATAAGAGCCGTGATAGCTCATTTTCCATGCGCTCCCTTTAATTCAATATACTCGAGCAACCTGAGTTCACATCCCGGTGCCGAGACCAATGAAATTGCATATTTTAAAATGCACATGCTCTGCGGTGTAGGAAAACGTCGTGAGGAAACTTGTATATTTTCGATATGTGATAAGCCTGTCAATCTGTAATGAGATCACGCTCGTCCGACTATGCCCAACAGCGGGACATAATTTAGGCTATTACTTTATTATACTAGAATGGATATATTGGGGCAAGAAATTGTTACATATTTTTATGTGAGAAAGTGGCAAATGAGCTGGCGGTTCACCCGATGTTAAGTGATAACCGCCGCCGTGGTAACATTCATTCTTTAATAGTCCAAACAACGACTTCTGCCGTTGCACAGATAGGCAGGCTCACTCGGTAAGCCGAGGAGACGGCCCAACACGCACTGGAGGAATGCTCAGCCTGGACGGAGCAGCGCCGAGAGCTGTACGCTATCGTGGGGCACGACCTCTCGCTACCAGCCGTGGTTCGCGCTATGGTTGACAGCGAGAGGGCGTGGGGTGTTGTCCTCGCATACTGCGAGGACGTTATCACCCGGAAGGAGGCCGCGGAGAGGGAAAGGGAGGCAACTGCCACCCTGGAAATTCGCCGCCGGAGACCAGGGCGCAGGAGGCTGGCCTACGCGCGCAACCTTCCCCCTGATGGTGAGACCCTGAGCGGCAGACATGGGAGTGTCTGTCGCTCAATATGGAGCTCGTGACGTGTGCTGTGCCAATTGCACGGGCACAGCACTATGTAGTAGAGGAGGCGTAAAGGGGCCATAGTCGCGCCGGGGTCGCGGAAGATTGCGTTCACGTGTTCCCGTGTCCCCGGCTGATGCGACAGAGACAGGTGCAACGTGGGTTTTTTAGTGGGTAACCGTTTTTAACGGGACTCCCACATACCCCTGCCACTTCTCCCATCCAGTGGCAGGGGATCCATAAAGGACTTTTCCCACGAAAAAAAAAAAAAAAAAAAAAGGCTCACCGGTAACCGCGGCCTCATAGAAGACCGGTGTTCACGTTTCACGTTTCGTCTGGTGACTAAGGTAACGGTGGCGAACTTTTTTCAAAGGTTGTCAACAAGTCGTCAGTAAAAGTTATATAAGTACTATAACATCAGTCGAACCACCTGCTCGCATAACTTTTCAAATGAAAATATTGGTAACGAGAATAAGTAGCGCTATTCCTCAACGTCCACGAGTTGGGGTGAGCGTGGACACCGCAGCTGGTCGGCATCACTGCCAGAGTCTAATTCTGTCCGGGCCGTTTCGCCGCCCCGCTACGGCAACAGTTATGCGTCGATTAATATTTACATTTTAGCGTCGACCCTCGCGAGGTATACCTAACTGGACCGTTGCACATTTCGTAAGTATACCGAAAGACGAAGGGTGAAACATAATATAGTAAACTCGTTCTGTTTGAGTATACAAACGTGGTCGGCAAATACCATCTATTTAGCCCTATTTAGATTTTTTTAAAGTCAAAGTCAAGTCAAAGTCAAAATGTCTTTATTCAACATAGGCTTATTTTAAGCTCTTATTGAACGTCAAAAACTACCACCGGTTCACTAAACTAGATCTGCAAGAGAAGAACCGGCAAGAAACTCTGCGGTCATATATTTATATTTTATTTCTATTTTTTTTTAAGTATTTAAGTATACACACAAAATTATTTTAGTATAATTTAGCAGGAGCCAGGGGACTTGCAAGTGCAGAGCAAGAGTCAGTCATGTTTGAAATTATTTAAACTTAATTGTTTGTGGATGTCACCTATTCTATTATATAAGTTAATACATCTACCAAGAAACGCTTTCCTGGTTTTAGCTAGTCTAAACCTCGGTATTTCCAACGTGTCACCACGGCCCCGACGCGATGTGGTATGTTTTTTTTGTAAAATGGTGTAAGTTATTTCGTACATACATGATGTTCTCAAGTATGTATAGCGACGGGAGCGTTAAGATGTTTATCTTTTTAAAAATATGCCGAAGGGACTCACGTGGACCCAGGCGATAGACTGCCCGTATCGCTTGCTTTTGCAGTACAAATATCGTGTCTAAACCGGATGCGGAACCCCAAAGTAAGACACCATAAGACATAATACTGTGAAAGTAAGCATAATAAACTAATTTAGCTGTTGCCTCGTTTGTTAGTTGCCTGATCTTGCGTATGGCAAAGACGGCAGCGCTGAGCTTTTTAGCTAATTTATCTATATGCGCTCCCCATTGCAACTTGGAGTCAATGCATATTCCAAAGAATGCCGTTGAATCCTCAAGAGGTAGGATGTTGTCATCAATAAAGATTTCTGGTTTGTGAGACAGCTTTGATAATGAAAATCTGATACATTTAGTCTTAGTGGCGTTCAAAAGTAAATTATTGGTCGCAAACCAGCCCGACACGACACTTATTTTTATGTCTTAAAGTGGGTTCTTAAAGATAACTTCGGTACAAACTTCTTGTAGCCATTAGCATTGTGCTCGCGAAGATCTTTTCCTAGTTCAACCCGCAGGGATATCCAACTAGCCAACTAGCCGGTTGTATGGACCTGATCTTATAGCTTATATAGTTTCCATTCTGCCCAACCGTTGTTCACCCATGAACAGAAAATTCATTGCACGGTCTACCCAAGACCATTAACGTACCTAAACAAGATATCTTTTTTGAAATAATCTTATCCTTTAAACGAGCAATTCTTGTTTATATATATATATCGAAATCACGGAAACGGCTCCAG